GCAACAATGAATGAATGGAATTCCAAAATCTCTGTAGATGTTCATTGAAATGAAAAAGAAACAAACTAAATTAAACAAAAAAAAATGGGATCTAAAATTACAGCAATAATCTCTCCTTTACAGATTTGTCTTAAAGCAAGAGTGTGACAGAGGTATGTTCAGTATTAAGGGACACTTAAAATCTTAGTGCAAGATTTGTCTATATTTCAGCAACAGAATACTCCCTAGACTCATTTCACTGTATTGAATATAAACATCAGACCTCTTCAAAGTGACCTCTAGCTGCAGTTCAGAAGAATTGGCTTTTACTTCCCTATTGCCATACACAGTATTAGCAAACATAACACAACTACTGTTGACTGAAAATAAATGCATGCACCTGTAAAGAAAATAGAAACTGCAAAGTTGTATTTTGAATAAATTGTACAAGCCTCATTTGGGGTTTTATTTTATGGGTTATTTTAAGCAAAAGCACACATAAATTGAAAATTCCTTAAAAGCAACAAAAGGTTTTCACATTGCCTGTGTTTTTTTACAACATATTATGTACAGAAAAAAGTAAATCTGAGTAAGAAAGAAGTCTTAAGCATGAAACCTATTTCTTGGAAATGTATTTTATTTTAATCTAATTCTTCAAATGAATCACCTCTAAGTTCTAAAGTCAATTATAGTAATTTTGCTTATGAAGTAAAATACATCACCCTTTTAAAGGTAGGCAAAGTTTACAAAAAGAAATAACCAGTGATGGTAATTGTTTAATTTTTTTTTAAATAAAGAATTAATATAGGCTTGAATCAAGAACACAATCACCATAATGACTAGAACTATCATTGTTCTGGAATAAGCCTTAAAATACTGCCCAAATCTTCATTTCATATATGTGGGATATGTACAATATTAGGTGTAAATCTGAATCACAATCACAACTGCAATAGAAGCAATGACAGTATAACTACAAAAGAAAGCTTCTAAACGACTGAAGAAGGCTAAAACTTTCACTGCTTATTTAGACAAGCTATTAACATTTAAGGGCAAGAGCTTTTTAAAAAAAATGTTTGTCTGTTGAACAGAAACAAACCAAGAAACAAATTTGACTTAAAACAAATATGGAAAACGGAAAAGAGAACATTTGGTAAAAATAATGTCGACAGATAAAAATAGCTCCTGTGATTGAAGAGAAACTCGGTTAAGCCAAAAGGTTAAAAGAGGAACTGGCGAGAAGTATTAAAGCGCAGAGGGAACTGTGACAGGCATAGACACTGTTAAAGAGAAAAGTGAAGATATTCTTGATAAATAGCCCTTTATAACACATTTCAGCATTATTTATAATTCCCCCCAATTCGGAACCTCACCTTAATCTATATTGATAAAACAGGGAATTTTAACTATAGCAGAACCAATAGCATGCAATAGTAACTTTAACTAAAACAGTGGATAATCACTTTCCTAAGTTGTTTTGAATTTCATTATAAATTATCTTAATTTCATGACCTATAAAAATGTTTTCATTAAAGACTAAGGAACTTATAAACACTGTAAAAAAAGAAATTCATTAGACTTTTAGAATGTACTAACTTTTTAAATGAGTGCTAATCTCATTAAGTGTTGTTCTGAGAAAACAATTAAGATCTGTTTATTAAAACTCCATCTCCTAAACGTTTGTTTCTTTTCTGGAACAAAGTGTGTTATTGTTTAAAAGGTTCTCAGCTGCTCTTTAATTATCTGATAGAATCTACAGCCTAAATCAAATGTTTACCTCATGTCCACAATTAAAATAAAAGCAGGTACAGTGTAGTTCATGTATTGCCTTACCTAAGAGAAGAAGGTATATTTTGCACTGAAGGACCCCAATTCTGCTGCCAAGGGGCGCCATGAAAGCATCCTGTCCCATGCATGCAGTGCCCTGTTCCAAATGGTAACTTGGTTCATGGACCAGCAGCTGCTGGTTTATTTGCTAGGGAAATTAGCAGTGAGGTAACAGACCCTATCCTGCCTCTTGCTTCTGTGATTTGAATATGGAATGAAGGTGTATACAAAGGATACTGGGAGTAGGAACACCTGTTAAATATATGTATATAGACTCTGAAAATACAGGCTTACGACTTTCACAATAGTTTCCTACAGGTTATGAGTAATCATCTCTTTCATAAATTATTACCTATAAATAATCACAAGATGAAAAATACTCTTTTGCGGGGACTCTCTTGAAAAACAGTATGAATTAGAATGAGAATATACAGCAAAGTCCATTAAAAACAAAAGCAGATTACCTATCATGACAAAATAAGCATCTTTAAAAAGTCTGCTTTCTAGGAAAATGTGTTTAATAAATCTGCTAAACAAAATTTTCATGAAATTCAAAATAGAGAAGTAGAGTATCTTTAAAAATGTATTTTTTAGTGCAATTCTGCTACTAAGGTTTTATTCATTGTATTTTTAAAAGCAAAGCACAGGTGTGTTTCCAAGTGACCCTGAAGCACAGACTACATAATTATCAGTGAAAGCTTTTGTCCACAGACGATATCTGAGTCTCGATTTTCACAGCTGAACCACTGAGGAAGTGAACCAATGACTGAGAGAAGATCTTGGCTTCACTATTTTGTCTTTTCATCTTGGCCTCTTCATTGTGATGGCAGCATTTGGTCTGAATAACTGACTAAGTTACAAATCACCATTCATTTGCAGGAAAGCTTCTGGTACAACTTTTCTATATAAAATGAATCAAATTATGTGTCATGTAATTTTTAAAAATGTCGTTGTTTTGCTTATAATCCTTCATATACATTGTGTTATATACATTCATATACATGATGTTTATATAATTACTATTCATCTATGCCCATTATCACCCCTTCTTTTCAAGTTGTCATGAACTCTTCCCATTCCTTCACCCCCTCCTCTGCTCACTAATCTCTACTATCATAGTGATTCTGCCCCTTCCTCTTCTTTTGCCCTCACTTTCCCCCCTCCCTTTACCCCTTTGAACGTTTATATTTATCTAGTTCGGTTATCCTCCTATTTTCACAGCAATGGTCTCATGCATTTTTAATGGTAAAATTTCACTGAAGAAGTTCAATGATGAGAAAGGAAGAACATGCCTATGCATTCATTGTATGTGTATGTGTGTAAGAATGAAAGTCATTTTGGAATCCAAGTTTGGAAATAATTTTGGTCTTAAGGATCCCAACTGGTCTAGAAGGGAGTCTTATAGGTAAACAGTGAGCGACAGTTGAGAAACCTGAGTGGTCTTCACCGAGTAGTCAATTTATAATTTCTCCTTGCTTCAGAAAAACGGTAAGCGTTTCCTTCCTAATAAAAAAAAACAAACAAAATGGTACATATCTAGCCCTTAAATTCCAGACATCATCTATTTCAGGTGTTATTTCATTGCAATTTAATTTAATCACATACTTATTTTCTTCTCTGAGCTTCTGAAATATAGAGATTGGTCTTATGATTTATGGATTCCCAGCACCTACTGCAGACTTAGGTAATATTTTTATATTGTTCCACTGAAAACTAAAAATGTTCTTTGGCCCGTGTATTCTAATTCTCAACTGACTCTTAAGAATTGCAGACAAACTTTATATTTCACAAAATATAATTTGGAAAAGAATGATGGAAGTTCTAGAAATTTTAGACAAGTTCTTCCTTATCACACACACACACACACACACACACACACACACAGAATGAGAGAGAAAGAGAATGTGAGAGTTTTATTCAATATAAATCCCCAGTTGCTTTTATTAGATAGGTTCTTTCTAACTTATTTCATGGTAAAGGTTGCTATGTATTTGGGAAAATAATAAAGACAATATAGTGAGTTTTTCCCAAGGTTAAATTTAAAGGACTGTTCTGTATTCTGAGGCTCTTTTTCCCTTTTTTGTATTTAAAATGTTTTATGATATAAGATGCTACATAAATAAAAGTAAAAATCAATCACAGTTGTGATCTTTTCATACATACATTAAAATGACAATACCTATAATGAATGGTACGACTCCTGTTAGGCATACAGATGACAGATCGCCCTCTAGTGGCTGATAGTAGGTATAGAGTCTTACTTTCTGGAACAACCTCTGAATTTAGGTTTACAGATCTAGCGTCCCAGGTAAGGAGTTGTGCTTACAACAGAAAGGCATGTTTGAATACACCAGTTGTTCAGCAAAAAGATGGGCTATCTAATCCCATGTGATTTACTGTCACTGGAAAGCTGCTGGAGAATCAGCTATGAGTTGGTTCTTGATGGCACACAATAAGGACATACATTAGGTTTATAGAAGTTAGGGAGCTTCAATATTTATTACATCTGAAGATCAAGAAAACAGAAATGCCATTGGGTCAATAGTCAATATCATGATAAATGGAACAAAGATTGAAGTTCTCAATGATTTCATCTTACTTGGAACTCCAATCCTATTGTACCCTTAGTACAATAGTCACCCTTACAATAGAACACCCTTAGTACAATAGTCAAGAAATCAAGAGGTACTGCATTGGAAAAATCTGCAGACAAGAACATCTCCAAAGTTCTAAAGAGCAGTGTTGCGAGTTTAAAGGCTAGGAAGCACTTGAGTCAAGACATAATCTTTTTAATTACTTGCTATGCGTGTGAATTTTGGACAATGACTAATGATGACAGAAGAATTGATGCCTTTGAGTTGTGGTCTTTGAGAATACTGACTATTCCACAGGCTGTCAAAAAAATAAAAAAAAAAAAATCCAAACAAATAGTTTTGAAGCAAGTGCAACAGGTGCAACCAGGGTGCTTCTTATAGGCAAGGATGGTGAAACTTGTCTCATCCCCATGGGTATGTTGTTAGGAGGGTCCAGGCCTTGGAATACGACACCATGCTTGGGAAGATGGAGGATCAGTGAAATAGAAACAAAATCCCTCAACAGATACATTGACAGTGTCTGTAATGATGGGTTGAAGTATACCAGCCATGAATAAGATGCCACAGGTTTATATTTGTTATTCATAAGGTTGCTCTTGGTTGTAGTTGACTTGATGGCATCTAACAATAAGTGGCCTAGTGGGTAGGGAGTTAAGCTTCTATTCCTAAAGCTGGTGGCTGAAAACTAATAGTTGGTCTGATGGAGAAAGATAGGCACTGGCTGGCAGCTGATTTAGTCTCTGACATTTCCAGGCTGTTAAATATAGTCACCTATAAATAATTATAGCCTCAGGATCCGAAGAAAGGAGGGCTACTATGAATTTGAATTGACTTGATGGTAGATATAGATCTACATTACCTACTTATCCACATCTGATGCAGAGTAGAATGGTCTCTGGGACTACTTGGCATACAGGGGATCACTATGAGTTGAAATAGATTTTATGTCAAGTAACAACCAAGTTGTAACATCTTAGGTTTTTGTTTGGTTATTTAGATCTAGGATTATTGTTTACTATCACTATTGTCATTTTGACAGGAAGACAGGACAATTTGAACCTGGCTGAGGGCCACAGATGACAATCACCCACCTTCGGCTTGATAGCACAGCTTCCTTCCACTAGGCCAACGTAGCTCTCTCTTGGTCATCATCATTGTTATTGTTGTTTAATGCCGTCAAGTCGTAGACGACTCATAGCGACCCTATGAACAAACAGCCTAAGCACTGTTCGTACATAGAGTTTCCAGAGGCAAGCCATTTTGGAAGTGGATGCCACTCCTGCTTCTAGGTGGTATAGCACTGGTCTGTGCCTTGCTGTACAGAGGTAACTTGTGGTTGCTGTGATGCTGAAGCCTGTGACAGTGATGTGCCAATCGTGGTAATGGGCACCCATGGTGGACAGTGTTGGCTGGAGCTTCCCGACTAAATCAAGCCTGGAAGCAGGAGCGGCATCCACTTCCAAAATGGCTTGACTCTGGAAACTCTATGTACTAACAGTGCTCAGGCTGTTCATTCATAGGGTCGCTATGAGTCGTCTACGACTCAACGGCATTAAACAACAACAACAACATCACTATTGTCAGGATTTCCAGTCTGACTTGCTTTAGATTATGGAAATAGTAAAGTGATGGGTGGAAGTGAAACTCTTTGGATTTTTACTTTGCTTTCCCCCTCCTTGGCACCTATCCAGAGGAAGGGAAGATCAAAGAACAAATATTTCTAACCCTAGCTGGCCACTGATGGGCAACATCATGAGAGATTGAGAAAAGATAGAAACTGTCAACGAGTTTGTCTTACTTGGATCCACAAACAATACACTTGGTACCAGCAATCAGGAGATCAGGAGACATACTGTACTTAGAAAGTCTGTGGTCAATGACCTCTTCAAATTAGTGAGGGAAGATGTTTGGGAACTTGGTTTGAGGACTATGGTGTACCTGATTCTGGCCATCTTCTTTTCAGTCACTTGCTATGCATCTGGCAGCTGGACAATAAGTAAGGATGATAGAAGAATAAAAGCTTTGTGTCGGCTTGGGGAAAGTACTGAGTATCCATGGACTGCCAAAAGAACAAACAGACATGTCTTGGAGAAGGTGCTCCCAGACTGCTGTTTAGAGGCAAAGATGATAGTTTTGGCTCACATACTTTGGACATGTTGCCAGATCGGGTGTTCATAGGGTCACTTTGAGTCACACTGGACTTGAAGGCACCTACCAACAACCACTACCTTAGCCTTAGGGAGCTCTCGTGGTTTCATCTTGTTGTTAACCCTCTAGGCTTAACACATCGACCCATGCCTTGGACTCTAGTGGTTTTTCAGAAGCAGTAAATTTTACTTTCCCATCCATTTCCTGCGGGGCAGCAGGAGGATTCAAACCACGTGCCTTTAGGATTGCAGCACAGCCTCTTACCACCAGAGCTCTCTTTGCAAACAGGAGGAGATCGTTCATCTTTCTCCCTCGGAGTGGTTTATGGATTCGAACGCGTGTCTCTGAGTTGGCAGCATAATTCTTTAGCACTAGGTTATCATAGCTGGGCTTGTTGTTAGGAGTGTACGACCCTAAGTGACC